GAAGAAGGAAGCAGAAACAAATAAAAAAATGAGTTTTGCTTCACAATGATCTTAAGCCTAAGTCTTTTTGTTATTAAAAGCAATGAAGGCTTTTGCGATACAAAAATAATACGTTTTGCAGTATTATTTCACTCGTCTTCATTCCATAAACGAATTCTGAATTCAAAAATTTTTCGATGCTTATTTTAGATTTTACATTCACTGCTTTTTTCCTCCTTACTTTAACAGCATTTTTTTTTTTCGAAACATAATATAAAATTTTATTGCTGTTTCAGTATTATTAGCAAGAGGAAAGAACAAAACCATTACAGTCTAACAAGGTGCATTTTCTTGCTGGAAATTCCTGGCAAACCAATTCTCAGTGATTTACTTATTGCACATATTTTTTGACAATGTGTTCACTTGTTTTGGATAATAATCACATTCTGTTTGCCCAACATTTCCAACTGTACTTTTTTTGCGATATAAAAAATTTTTTTCGATATAAAATTTTCTGATGATATCGCTCTTGCGTGAAATAGCTGATGTTTTACTAAACTAAAACAAACATTTGGCAAATAATCAAATCATTTCGATAGTCTTTTCAAATCTGTTGTTTCTTCTTTTTCATTCTCTATCTGTCACAAGCAAAAAAAAAAGACCAAAAAAAAGTTACATTTGTAATCAATTTATAGTTTACTTTAGTGTTTTGCGAAAAATTACAAACAATTTGACGTTTAAAGTTTTTTGCAAAATTAAAACTATAACTAAATTTTTCGTCCTCAGCAGCTGGACTCACTCTTTGTATCTTCACATTTGACCACTATCGTCGTGCTGAAATCATCATCGGTTTTTTGGTTTAGAATTCTATTCTATGCCATTCTTTTGCTGCCTAATATCGTTCTGCTATTCTATAATGCTAACTGAAAAACTACTTCAAAAAAAAATTGTATAACCAATATTCTTGTAGCATTTTTAGATGATAATTATGCTGTTCTTTACTGATAAGCTTGATTATTCTTACCAGCAACACAAACACGACGTGTTAATCGCTATTGGACTATTCACATAGTTCACACAATTCCAGGCATTAGTTACAAAGCCATAGTTTCAAAAGTATTCTAATCATTAGAACGAACTGATACGTATGGCTATCGACCAATGGGTATGTCGTCCATGTGGAATACTGCTTGGAATTTGCCACGTTATAATTGGCAACTTTATGCTGATTTTTGATATCATTACTAATGAAACATCAGAAACCATATTTGGTACTATTGCAGCTATTCTGTTCATTCTTTGTGCGCTATTTGCTTTTATATCAATCAGGTAGAATTAATAAACTTGTTCACCTTTTCTGGTGTTCATTTTTTTAATGTTTAAGAATGGATGTCTTCAAAAAATAAACTGTCTTTACATCTTCGTACTTTTTTTTACAAAAATTTTTTTTCTGACGACCAACTTTTGCTAACATTTTGGTACTGAAGAATAAAAATCAATTTTAAATAGTGCCAAAAAAAAATTGTCAGTAATTGTTTACACTTTTCTATTTGAGTGCTTAGAAAACTGTTAAAAAAATTTATTTTAAGTTGATTAAATGAAAAAATCTGTTTTCTTTTGTTTAAAAATACAGCTGGTAACGATTATTGAGTAGAAAAAAACAGTTGATTGAGGACTGAAGCTGCTACAGTTGATTTCACTTGAGTTTTTGTTCTTTGCTTTGAATCCTTTAATCTCTTCACTTGAAAAGAGTAAAATTTATGCTTGTATTATTAAAGATAGAGTGTTTTTCAATGTGTTTTTTTAATGAATAATGACCAAACTATATTCAAAAAACTGTGATATCAAATCGATGCTGACTCGAAGCGGTTGTAGCTCAAATGTCAGAAGTAGCTGTAACCAAACTTTTTTTTGATGTCTATATAAAAACCAACTGTTGCATGAATCCAGCTACTGTCTTTTAAATCAGTGGCGTAAAACTAAATCAAAGTTTTTTTGTTACAATTATCAAAAATTGGTATACACTACTGTTATCTATTAGAAACTGTAAAATTAATAAAATACGTCTGAAAGTTGACAACAATCAGAAATTTTGTTATTTTTAATATTAATCAGAAAACTGTTTATTAAAAATTCTTAATTATTTAGGAGATTGGACAGAGCAGCACAAATTCTACTCTTAATATTTGCTTCGTTTGCATTTTTAGTCAGCCTTGCAATGGTATTGGATAGCGCTGCAGTTGTCAATTTGAAATCTGATTTACTGCTTTTTGACCAAAAAGATGTTGAAGAAACAACTGAACCGGCATATGAATCTTCTAACGAAGTTCAGACATCACTTGAGGTCTCAACTGTCGACACAACTGATGCCTCTACAGACGATCTGCACAGATGTATTTACCAAACGCATTCTGTCCTGCTATGTGTTGGATTAATCGAATGTAAGCGCCTTATCATGTTGCGAAAATATAATTAATGGTATCGAAGATTTATATAATGTGTTTAACAAGCAAATTTTCATGTCAAGACAACAACAACAACAGCAAAAGTTTATATTATTTTCTGCAACTTTACACCGCTGTTCAAATTGCTGCTCTCAAAAAACGTTGAATTGTTAGAATGTTCAGCTAAACAGTTCTGTTGCAGTGGTTTTAAGCCTAATAACCATTATGGTGTGCTATCGCTCTCTGAAAGAACTTTATGCGATCAAAAAGCCAGCCTCGCCATATAGTTTTTTGTCGAACAATCAGCACTTTAAGACATCGCCAAAGTTGTTGAAAAAGTTTATCTAAGTCTTAAAACAGCCACAGTTTTTTGAGCTATTATTTTTTTTTTCAGAAGCTAAATTTCTAAACATTGCTGAATATAACGTTTCAAATGTTTAGCTGTTTTTAATAACCTTTCAAATTTCAAAAAAATAATTCTGATTTTGTAAGGTTGATTGCAGATTCTTAATTCAAAGTGCTTAAGCAACACAATTTTGTTTTTTTAGGATCCAAAATTTCATGGCAAATATATAACAGTGATCGAATAGTCTCTTCAAGCGATCTCATATTGTTTTAAATGATCTTCATCGCCAAATTCTTCCAAAAAAATGTGATCTTGATGAACAAAAAAAATTCTATTTTAATTTTTCTTTTTTATTTTGAATATTTTTACGTTTAATTACTTCTTCTTCCTGTAGTTTCAAAATTACGACAAAATAAATTGTAATTATTGATTTGCTACTGCATCTCATCTTTTTTTTCCATCGTATTTTCTACTGAAATGACTAAAGCGAAAACTTGCTTTAACTACACTCAAAAATAAGCACAAGTGTAAGTACTTGTAAAGCAAAAACTTCTTGACAAAAATCGTTTATAAATAAAAACAACTGTTTGCGTATCACTAAATATACAGTCAGCAAATAATTTTTTAAAATTTTTTTTTAAAATTATTGTCAATATTCATTTATAATTATTGCACCTAAAATGATCTAAAACATCTACATTATTTATTTATAGTTATCTCATCTGCTGCTGAGAGCTAAAGATGATGCCTTCCTACACACTTATTCGCGATAAAAACTGCTTTCAAAGCATGCATTAATACTATTTTATTTTTTCAAGCTTACCGTAATATTTGATTTCTTTTTTTTCTTATCAACTTACTTTCATTCTGTTTAACGAATTTGAGTTGTCCAAATTTGTTTAACACAGAGTCTTCATCTTCTCCAATAACAGAAAAAAAAAACTATGCTATTTTTCTCTTTGTTCATAAGTCACAATTTTATGGCGTATTTTTTAAGCTTCGTCTACCCCTCATTTATGTTTACAACTCCTTTAAAGAAAAACATCCATGTTGGAAATCCGACTTTTTTTCTTTTTTTTTGCAGTAAAATTTGACGCAGCAGTACAAAAGAACAGGAGATTTAAAACTGAAACTTAATGCTTCTAATATCAGCATAAAAAAAGAATATAAAGCGGCAGATAAAGAATAAATAGCTTTTAAAATTTATTTTGACACTTATTAAAGAATGAGCAGTAAAATAACCAGCATGCAAAGTTAAAAAAGAAAAC